TCCAGCTCCAGCTCCAGCTCCAGCTCCAGCCCCAGCTGCAGCTCCAGTTCCAGCTCCAGCCCCAGCTTCAGCTTCAGCTGCTTTATCTGCACCTGCATGTAGATTTAGTGTACAGTTCCTGTGGGTGGTGCCGTGAGTGCTTCCATTGGCTGTTTCCAGAGGACATGAGACACTACACATATCAGGTGACTCGGGGTTCACCAGACCGACAGCTCGAGTCCACACTCCAGACTTTCCTCTCCAGGCCGGGTGAACCGAGCCAACAATAAATTGTTCTCCCTTTGCCCCACACAGCCACAGTTTCCACCATCACAGGTTACTGCACGCGTCACACCACAGACACAAGCAGAGTGGAAACCTGACATCATGTCCACAGGAAACAAATCTCCACGTCCTTCACTTACACGGGGGCTTCACTTTTCCTCACTGCTACATGAAGTAATGCAGTCAGTCAGGTGACGTGAGGAAGCTGTTTTCCCTGCAGACGTGCTGATGGTACGAAAGTGGTGTGATGTAGTTATGTATGTAGTAAACTCTTTGGATAAAGAGTGTTTGGGTAAAAACAGATGATTTTATTTATTTTATTGCACAAAATAGCTCTGATTGCAGAGTTTCTGACTCAGGCTCTCCTCCACAAATCCCAACATCACAGCTAACAGCTGGATTTTAGCCCAGCAGCCACTTCCTGCTGCAGACAGACAGTAAAGTGGACAGTAGATCCTGGTTTAACATGAACTGACTGCTGCAGCACTACAGTGATCCCCTCACACTGATGTTTAGCTTCACTGTCCTAATTTTCCTCTGAGGCAGGGGTGGCCGACTCCAGGCCTCGAGAGCCGGTGTCCTTTAGGTTTTAGATGTGTCCTTGATCCAACACAGCTGATTCAAATGGCTAAATGACCTCCTCAGCATGTCTCGAAGTTCTCCAGAGGCTGGTAATGAACTAATCATTTGATTCAGGTGTGTTGACCCAGGGTGAGGTCTAAAACCTGCAGGATGCCAGCTCTCGAGGCCTGGAGTTGGCCACCCCTGCTCTGAGGTATCGATCCTGTCACTAGTTAATGGCAGGCTCCGTACTGACTGGAGGGGGCGCTGTTTTTAAAACTTCACACATGAAGTTACACCATTGAGCCCTGCTCTCAGGATCTGACATAGATGTAAGTTAGCCTTTCTGTATGTAGAGTTTACTCCCCTCTTGGATGTTGCCCTTGGGCTGCGCTGACCTGTTGTTAACTGAAATGTGTCATTCCCTGTGTCTCCTGCAGAGGGAGCTGTCAGAGTTCTCCTCCTTTAATTACTGGAGAGCTCCGATTGCCGCTGTGGACGCCCTGCTCGCTGACCTGCTGCTGTGAAGCCAGCTAACCTCTGACCTCAGACCACACTGAAGCAAAGATGCAGGGTCTGCAGGACAGCACGTTAGGTGCACCACACTTCCAGTTTTCTTCCTGGGTGGAAACAGGAAGTGTGGTGCACTTTGAACCCTTTGATTATCGTTTGGTAAAATAAATTTGACTTGTGATGGAGCAGCTGATGTTTGAAGAACTGCGTCACCCTCACAGGTGAGGTTCACCTGCAGAACTGAAGGAGATGATGTGACATGTGTGACAAGGCCTTTTAATTTTCCGGTTTTTGAACAGACGCCTGTGAAGATCACTTTGTTCTGTTTTGTCTGTGCCTTTTTTCTTTTGTTACAGCTGTTCAGGTTAACCTCACAGTCTGCCCTGTTTATTATTTATTTATTTATTTGTGTAGCTGTAATCAAACCTCGCACTCCTGCCAACAACAATAAAAAAGTCTCAGTTACTCGTAAGTTTGGCTTTTATTACAGTAAAAGTACAAACTAATAAAGTCACACAATCATTAACTGGCCATGTCTGTGAATTACAGTGACTATGGAGTCAACCTCGTCATACACGACGAATAAATTCGTGTTCTGCATCAGAAACACCTCTGTGACATCACTGAGTAACGTTCACAGCACACACCCGAGTGATTACCTCATCACCTGCTGATGATAACAGAATGACTCGGATAATCAATACATTTGATCAGCAGCTCCTGAAAAGCGATCCTCTGAACAGAACCTCCTTCTTCCTCTGCCCGGCACCTGGTGGTGGATTATGGTTAACGGAGTCGAATATCACAGAAGAAGAAACTTGATTTCTATCATGTGCCTCAGAGCTTCAAACCTCCCTGCACCTGTTAAACAGCGTTTGATTGGTCCGGAGGCACTACAGGTGCAACTGACAGGAAACCCAGGTGTGCTTCTCTGTGATCTCTGCTGCAGGATTTAGCAGCGCTGCCCACGCACCTGAGCCATCAGCAGGTCTGTGCTGTTACCTGATTAGAAGAAGTACTTTCTTATGTTTCACACCTGAACATCAAAAGTGGATGTTTAAGCTCCTTCAGATCAAAACCCGGCTGACACGCATTTATTTGACCAATCACGTCTCCAAACATCAGTCTCTTATTGGTCTGATTCCTCTCAGGTTAATGCATCAAGATAATTTTCTTCTTCTATGATCACCTGGGGTCATAGATCATCTCAGAGAAAAAAAGGTACACATCTGTCCTGTCCAACAGCTCACAAAAACCCATTATCCCTTTAAATAATCAAAACACGTCAAACAGACTATCAGTTTTCTTTTTTTATTGGGGATTAATGAATAATTTAAGAATTTAATTTATACATATTTAAATGTGAAATTCCAGAAAAAAAAACCGCAGGACTCTTCTTCTACTACTCCCAACATGTCGTACTCTTCTTTGCTGCGCAGGCGGGAATCAGCCTCTCCTGTTGGCTGATCTGCGGTCAGCCTCGGTCACTGCATCACAGCCCTCTGACGCACACTCTGTTCTTCAAACTGACCTCAGAGCTCTTCGCCTCGGCCGGCACAGAACCCGCCCCCTGGCAGGTTAACACTCTCCGGCTTCCACCTCCGGTGTCGCGGGGCCGCCATCTTTGTAGCACATTAAACATTTTTTTAAAAAAAAAATACCTGTTTGTGAAGGTTTTCTGAGCAGGTAAGCGCACCTTTCCGGGTCCCATCCACGCCAGGAGGCGTACGATCGCGAGAACCTTGAGATAAGAAGGTAAAGCAGCTTTATTTTAACTTGTTCCAGCTTACATGCGCGCAGGCTAACGGCTAAAAGAGCTATAAGCTTTACAGAGGACCACACTTCCTTTCAAGACTTTCAACATAAAATAGTGTACGGTCCAACTGTAGATTTCAGGTACACTTTCACCGTTAATCAGTAGTTTATTGGTTTATTTGCTATTAATTAGCCGAGGGGAAAATACTATAAATTTACATTAGTTGTAATATGAATTTTACCTGCATTTTCGTCAAAAACTGACTTTTGGCAGATATCTTCATGACAATGTCTGGTTTTCTTCACTTCCAAAGCCAGTTGGCTGAATGTTGTTATTGAGGGCTATCAAATGATTGAATTGCACTTTAAGATCTTTACTCAGAATTTTCAGGAAACATATTTAATTCACAAACACTAAATAACATTAATCTGAACAATCCCTGTTAATAGTCCTAACGCTGACAGAGGAGTGCGGTGATGACGGTTTACAGTTTTACAAAAACATTTAAACCACTGGACCGCTGTAAAGGCTCTTATTTTGAAGGTTACACCCGTACCATCCGGCCGCGTCTCGCTAACTTTTCTCCGTAAACAGACTCGCTAGAGTCGGACGGGCCAAGCTCTCTTAGTGTTCGGCATTCATGTTCTGGTGCGGTTCTAGTCTTGAAGTGTACGCCTGACTGCACCCATTCTTCCGTAGCACGGATCGCAAAACAAGCACAAAGCTCCCGCAGACGCCCACGGTGGGGCGGCTAGCATCGAGCCGCTAACGTTAGCAGCGAGGAGTAGCGCGGCCCCACAAACCTGGAGCCGGTAAGTACTCCCTTCGTCGGCCGCCGCGGGACCACAGCCGCCCGCGTGCTCCGGCTCGCGTCCTCCGCACGAGGGTGGAATTGCGCGCGCCGGAGTCAACCTTTCCGCACGAGGCTCCGGTGAGCGGTATGACTGCGCGCGCTCCGACAACACCAACTAACCGGATGTGGAAGTAGTTTTTTCTCCGCGTGTAAAATAGGAAATTTCTGTGTGACTTCCCCCGGAAAACCAACAACTTAATATCAAACGGTTTCCTGTCGGTGTTGCTGTGACCGTGGCGGCGGTGCGGGTGGCGAAGAAGAGCACGGACAGGCTGTGCGGGGCGACGCAGCTCATGGCGGACTTTTTCTGCCCGTCAAGGCGCCTAAAATGGCTCCTCGGCCGCGGAGAGAAATCTCGTCCTTCTCTGCTGTTTCGCAATCAGGAGAGCGGTGTGACTACCCGATTTCCATTATCGGACACGGCCTGGGGCACGTTCTGGTAAAATAAAAGCATTCGGTCGGGTGTGAGCCTCCACAACCCGCTCACAGCGGGCCTGGGGGGTTCAGTCAGCCCTCTGGTGCACTTTAGCAGGTTTCTGTAGCCCTGCCGTGCTAAACCCTCAGCTACGGACCCGTTATCCGACACACACAGGGTTTGTTCTTTATGTCTTTTAAAGAGGAGCTAACCCACTGCACATGAGTAGATGTTAGCAAAAACACATTTTACATTTCTGCTCTTAAAACATAAGCGGGCAACTTCAACTTGAGCCTTACAGACGGAGCAGGCGCAGATGAACCGTGTGTGTGTCCGATAATAGACACCTAACTGTTAGCCTCAGATAAGCGAGCTGAAGGAGCGGTTTAATCAGACAGGCTGAGAGAAGTTAAACAGTGCTTTTAAGAAATGTTGAAATAAAGGTTTTTGTTGGTCATAAATAACACCCTGCAAATAAAGGATGACACTGCAGCTTTCATTGGCTGTTGGATGCCTATAGTTACTGATTGGGAGAATTGATCAGCTGTATTGATCCCTTTCTGCAGATGTCGCTGGTCGATTTGGGGAAGCGGCTGCTGGAGGCAGCCCGGAAAGGTCAGGATGACGAAGTTCGAAATTTGATGGCCAACGGGGCGCCGTTCACCACTGACTGGGTGAGACTCTGCATGCTTTTTTTTAATAGCACTAATAATGGATGGGACCGTCAACAGGCGGCACAGTGGTTAGCACTGTTGCCTCACAGCAAGAGTTCAGTTCCACCATCAGGTCTTTCTGTGTGGAGTTTAAGTGAGACCCACGTCTCCCCGTGTTCGCGTGGGTTCTCTCCGGGTACTCCGGCGTCCTCCCACAGTCCAAAGACTTGTTAGTGTGTTAGGTTAAAGTTAGGTGTGAATGCGAGTGGTTGCCTGTGTCTATGTGTTAGCCCTGCAACAGAATGGCGACCTGTCCAGGGTGTACCCCGCCTCTCACCCTAAGACAGCTGGGATAGGCTCCAGCGCCCCTGAACAGGAAGTGAGTGGATGGAAGGATGGAACTTGAACTTGGAAAAGAGTTGTTTCTGAGACTCTGAGATAGAAAGCTGCACCTGAGCTCACCTGTTCTGGCTCCTTCTCACTCACCTTCAGCTTGGGACGTCCCCGCTCCACCTGGCCGCTCAGCACGGCCATTACTCCACTGCCGACGTCCTGCTGAGGGCCGGTGTCAGCAGAGACGCCCGCACCAAAGTGGACCGCACCCCGCTGCATATGGCTGCCGCTGAGGGACACACGGTCATCGTGGAGCTGCTGGTCCGGGTAAGACGGCTTGTCTTCATTGGAAGGCTCTGTGTTCTCTAAGCGCTGTGATCTTTGACATATGTGGTCCTCCCTTTTAGAACGGCGCTGACATCAACGCCAAAGACATGCTGAAGATGACGGCGCTGCACTGGGCAGCACAGCACGGGCACCACGGCGTGGCTGAAACGCTCATCAAGCACGGCGCTGACGTACACGCGCTCAGCAAATTCGACAAGACGCCATTCGACATCGCCATGGACATCCAGAACACAGAGCTGATGCTGCTGCTGCAGGTGAGTCGACACCTTGACAAGGAGAAGCAGAACATTGAGGTTTCAGTGTGACAGAACGGTCACAGGTGTGCTCGCAGTCTGCAGCGAGGTCGATAACAGAGACTTTCAGGCTGCCCGGAGATCAGGTGAGGCAGACGCCTGAGTTGTTTTGTTTAGGAATGTAATAATCAGAGCTGTCTGAGGAAAGGATCTTTAACGCTTCCTTTATTGCCTCCTTTAGCAGAGGAGACACTGGAGTGTTCTTTATGAAAGGGGAGCAGAAAACGCTATCCCATAATTCATAGCAGCAGACTGGAACAATGGATAAATGTTCATTATAACAACTTCTCAAAAGGTTGATTCTGTTCATCTGGACCCTTCGTCGTCATCCAGGTGACTTCTTCAGTCTCAGCTGACTGCAGGTTTCCAACCTTATAAACTGGACATTTGCACAATGACTAAAACTGGCACCACTGAAGGAACAATGGGCTGTCAGATCCTTGGGGTGGGCCAACTTTTGGGGTTTAAAAGCCACAGAGACGCGGTGTTTAGAAAAAATGTGTCTCAGCTGCTCCGATACTCCTGACACGGACGGGATCACTACAGGTTTTCTCTTGGGCAGCGGTTGTGCGTCAGCTTTTAGATGTCCCCATTACTGAGGGAAATCTCTCAGTCTAAGAAGGCTAACCTGCCACTGTTCATATCCTCCCTGGTGAGTTTGATGTGTCGGTCCACCGAGTTAATGTGATCCGTGACTCGTGGAACGTCCTGAGATTTGATTTTCACCCAGGTGTCATCCACAGACCTGAACCAATGGCTTGGTGGTGTTCCAGGGTAGGATAGCAAAGCCCTCTTTTCCACTTCTGAAACAGATGAAATGAAGACACAGTTCAAACACATGTAGTCGATGCTGAGACTGGCCCTGTTGCTGAGGTTGGGGTTATCCTGTAATCTCTTACGAACTAGGGCTGGGCCGTATTATACCGTTCACGGTAATACCGGTACAATGTTAGGCAATGATAACAAAATAAAATATTGTGATAGAACACGGGTAAAACATGCACGCGCAGTGCCTTTGTTTATAATACGCACATGGTGGAAAAAGCATGGCAGCAACAGAGAATGAGAAAGTGGCTCGTTGAGTGAAACAGATGAACCCATAATGTTTCCACACCACTGAAGTTTTTCTACCTCTCTTTTCAACCAACGGCAGTCACTGTCCTCTCCAAATAACTTCTGCTTAGCTTTCCGAGCTTCCCTCGGGTCCTCTTAATTGTTGTGACGCGTGTTCGAAATGCAGAGAGGTGCGCTCGATTTGCCACACGGAGCAGCGCGAGAGTAAAGCACGAGGGAGGGGCTAATAATCGGCTCAGTCATTTTTAATGATCGTTGAAAGCCCAGATCATAATCAAGATTAAAATTCGATTAATTGAGCAGCCCTAGTTAACCTCTTAAGCCCCAAGGGGGTTTCTGAGCTTCCTGCTCGAAAATGCAATGCCCAAATTTAACTGATTATTTCTCTGCAATTACAAACTCTGTGCTTACAATCTTGGTATCAAAATAAAGCTAACACTTGTGAGATTTCATCAGAGGTGTAAATGATCAGCGTTGCTGTTTTACCAGGTGTAACAATGAAGTTTAACATCCAGGCATCCATAAAAACAGAATTTATAACAAACAGCTGCTTGTTTAAGTGAAAATAAATGGATGTTGTTTTTTTTTTATATCGTTATCGCAAATTTTCAAATATATATCGTGATAAATATTTTTGGCCATATCGCCCTGCTCTGTTACGAACTACCTCCAACACTTCAGTGACTGGGATGCAAGTGAAGAGAGATGTAACATGGATCGAGACCATGGTTTCATCTGCCTCCATAATGACATCTCTCAACATGTCTGGATGTTCAGGTGTTCAGAGCTGCCGACCAACGGGCTTAGGATCGAAGCCAGAAACTCTGACATGCTATAGGTGACCAAGGCGATCATACAATCACACGTTCTGATAACATCTCCCCTCATAACAGGAAACAGGAATCATAGCAGCCTGGATCCTAACCTATCCCAACCCTTTACACCCACAGCCGGCAGAAGAAAAGGACACGGGCGGCGTTCCAAAAGTCTCTCCTGTGTCTTTGTACAGTGTTTACAGGAAGTGGGTGGGGTTACTTTGTATGATTGTAGGGTCTTTGCCTTTCAGTACAAAGCACCTGCGCACACCTGATGGTGCCAGAGTGAGGATAAATAAAATGCCTCTAACAGAAGCCTCCTGATTGGTTGATTCTGTGGAGGTAGAAACGCAGAAAAAGGCACCTTTAAATTAATGAAAGCTTCACTGTGTGTGTGTGTGTGTGTGTGTAGGAGGGCATGCAGAATCAGGTGAATATGAACCAGGTGAGCATGAATGTGGAGACGAGCAGCACCACCAACCAACCACAGTTCATCATCCAGGGCATACCTGCCATTCAGGGGGGCGTGGTCAACCTGGCCGAGCTGCTCAACAAGGCCAATGCAGGTGAGATGCACGCACGCGCACGCACACACGCACGCACACACGCACGCACACACACAGCCCTTTTCCATCAGGACCTCTTTGGTCGGCACGTCACAGCTTGACACGGTGGTAGCACCTGGTCATTTTTCATTGTTTTTCAGGAGACTCTGAGGAAGCGATGGCTGCCAGCGCTCTTGACTCCAACATCCAGCACGCCACCGTCGTAAACGAAGGTGGTCAGAGGGTCATCACCATAGTAACCGACCAGCACGGAAACCTGCAGACAACAGGAGGGATGGCACAGCCGTTCTTCGTCACCATGCAGCATGGACAGCAGAGTATGATGCTGATGCCTTTGAACAGGAAGTGGCGGGAAGTCCTGAGGCCATTTACATCCTGATTTTTATTTTATCTTATCCAGTGCTCGCCGTGCCTGCCAACACCGTGACAGAGGAGGTGGTGACGGAGGAGCCGCAGCCCCCGCCCTCCAGGAAGAGGAAGCTGGAGGTGACCAACAACCACAACAACACGGGAGAGACGGTGAGCGCCGCCTCCACACTGTGATCAGTGACCTCTGAACGCCGCTCACAGTTTCAGTGAGCGGCATTTTACAGTGTATAGAAAACAACACTGACCCCAGGCCTGACATGATGTCACACTGCCAATGACCTCTGTAGTCCTGAGGGACCATAAATGTGTGTGAGTGTGTGTGTGTGTGTGTGTGTGTGTGTGTGTCAGATTTGTATAAACCTGCAGAGCTGTGTTCGCCTGAATGATGTGTGCTAGCTCCACTGTGTGTGGATCTAAAGATGCTTTTATTTTGAATATGGCTCTGTAGCGCCGTTAACATGGCCGTGCCTCTTGGAACCACGCCACAAACCCAACAGGAAGTTAGACCGTTGTCGTTGCCCCGCTGTAATTGAATTAGATTTGGGGATCGTTTGTGAGCCGGTGCTGTGGGTGGTTCACAGTGTGGGTTAGTTTGGAGAGAAATTTCCCCTAAAGAGTTGCAAATGCGAACGGCGTGATCCTCGAGCGTGATGTCCAAACCTGAAGTCCAGTTTCATGAATCTGACAACTTCCTCTTTCGAAATCCCCTCGGTGCTACCAATGTCTAAAACCACACCAGCATTCGATACGTGTGCGTCACACCACGTGGGTTTCTCTCCGTGGTTTGGGTGGGGGCGCTGGTCTGTGGTTTTGTGCTGATCGATGAGGATTATTTGTTTTCCTGCAGGAGCTGTTGCAGAGGCAGCTGCAGGAGGCCAACAGGAAGGCGCAGGAGTACCGACAGCAGCTGCTGAGGAAGGAGCAGGAGGCGGAGGAGTACCGCATCAAGCTGGAGGCCATGGCCCAGAGTCAGGCTGGCACCGCCACCGCAAACACGGCGGCCGGCGCCACCAACGCTGCTGCCAGCCCCGAGGAGGTGGTGGGAGGAGAGGAGGATGAGGAGGAGGGATCTGGCGGCGTGGTGGAGGAGGAGGCCGAGATGGTGGTGCTGCAGGAGGGGGGCATCATCATGGAGGGAGAGGAGGGTCAAGTGACGCTGGTGGAGGCAGGGGGAGAGGCGACGGAGGTGAGCTCCTAACGGAGCGCAGCAGGCGGGATTTGCACGCTGTACTCATGCCCACAAAAAGACCTGATCCTGGCGTGACACATGCTTCAACAGGGGGCGGAGTTCGGCTCAGCGCCATCCAGACTCCCCGGTTTAGAAACCTTTCACTTCTTTTTTTCAGCAGGGTCCAAAATGGCTGCCGCGTAGAGGACATTGATGACCTGAGGAGGAAGAGGGACCTCGTTTACCCTCAGCCATTTGTTCCCCGAATGCCGCTTTAACGTGTTTCCTCTGCCCGGCGCTGGCGGAGAGGAAGCTTCTTCAGATGTTCCTTCTATGGACTGATTCCTGCCACTCACACCCGCTTTACCCCCTCACCATCCAGCGGAGGGTGCTGTGAAAGGAGCCGGTTTTCCAGGAACTGGGACTCTGCTGTGTTCTTCCGATGTGACCTTGTGTTCATGAGCTGCAGGAAGCGTTACTGTCTTCCTGTGACCTTTGACCTGAGCTGAACCAGCTCCATCATGGACTCTGTTCATTAATTATGATGTTGTTTCCAGGTGGTTTCTAAAGGGGCGGGCTAAGGTCAGGTGACTATTGAGCAAGCTGAAGTCACATGATCAGCAGTGTGACGCTGCCCTGCTCCATCCTTCTCCTCTATCTCACACTCATCTACATAACCGTCCTTAAATGTGCTCTTTTAACTCCTCCCACTTTGGTTTGTGACACTTACATGTTTTGATTTTTACACCAACATCAGACACTGGTCACATCACCTCACCACCACTCAGCTGCAAACAGCTGTTCTGTGTAAACGCTTCACAGTGAATGTGTTTCCTGTTAGAATCTTTCACTTCCTGTCAGGACAGGAAGTGCTAAATGCTAATTCATTCCAGGATACTCTAGACAGGAAATGGAAACCTTAATTGGCCTGCCAGGTGAAAAGTGTCAAGTATAGCTGAGCTTGCCTGATCCTGGACAGTGTGCCTCACCTGCACTGCTCCACCGCTCACTTTTTCATTTCAGAGACGTGATGTCACACCTGAGGCTGCATCCTCTGCGAGGCTCATGTCTGCCCAGCCTGCTCCCTTCTAGAAGCCCACCTGAGAACACACCTGTCCTCCTCCACCTGTATAACTTCACTCATTTTTATACACTCAGTGACGTCGACTTTTTCAGTGTACATATAAATTTGTATTTTTGTAAACTGTACCTTAATGCTTCATGGTGATGATGGCGGCTGCCTGTGTACCTGTGACCTCAGGTAAACGCTTCTTCCTTTCAATAAAAGCTTGTTTCATAAGCTAACAGCGAGGTGTTTACTGACCTCAGGGAAATGTCCTGTTTTAGTTTAGCTCCTGTCCTGTAGCTTACAGGTGAATGAACAACGCGTCCCTGATTCTGGATGAAGAACTGAGCTGGACACCGTGGCATCTTATTTTTGTGTTTTCTGCACAAACTTAACTGGTAACAGGGGTGATGAGCGCTGGGAGACTGACAAAGCAACAAGGGCCAGCTGCTGCTGTGATGGCAAAATAATTACAATGATGTTTTATATCCATGATGCATTTATTGAGCCAGCTGTAAAGTCGTTTAATTGTATTCATACTCTTAAAACTAGTGCAGCGCTTCTGTCCTGTAAATAATTATAGAGCGGTTCGTTTTTTATTAGAACTGCTTTATTTCACTGATCTTTTAATTCAATGAAAGAAAAAGGAAGCTTTTGTGCGATTAAACTGCAACTCCCATGAAGCTTTGCAGTGCCGTCTGGCTTTCATGACCAACGACCTATCTCGTAGGACAAGACCCGATCAAGTCTGATTGATGTGCCCGCCGTCCAATCAGCGGTGGCTAAGGCGCGCACGTCCAACCCCGTGGTGTGGTGGGCGGGGCTCGCCGTATCATGGAGGATCAGTAGGCGAACGGCAGCCAGCAGAGGAAGGCAGGCACCGCTCCGACCCCGGGACGCCGTCAGCCGTTCACCGCCACACAGCTGCCCCAGCATGGACATGAAGAAGAGGATCACCCTGGAGCTGCGGAACCGGAACCCGGCGGAGGTGAGCCGTTCGGTCTTTGTGGCCCGGCAGGTGCGCCCGGGGTCCGGGTGCCCGCTCTCGGGCGTCCAGCTGACGGTCACGACGGGATGCGGAGCATCCTTCAGCTCAGGCCGCCCAAATAGCAGCGGGTTTACAGTCTTAATCCCAGCGGGTCCGGCGTCAGGAGGCAGGGTAACCCGCCGAGGGTGGACGGTGAGCCTCCGGGACAGCGACACGGAGCTCGTTTCAGAGGCGGTACCGGGTCACAGAAGCGGATTAACCGCGGAAATGTTCTCCCCTGGCGGACTCTGCGGGCCGTAACTGTAACGAGAGTACCGGGTAACCGGTTTTAGCCTTGCAGATTAGGGCTGGATTACTGCTCGGGAATGTCCTAATCTCCGTTACAGCGAAGTACCGGAGTCCGTGCGCCCGTCGTATGGTGCCGCGTGCGCGCGCTTATGCGTTATATAAGCCGCAGCAGTTGAATAACACGCTCCGCCATTCGGGGGGGGGGGGCAGATGGTGAGTGCCGCCCCCTCCCCGCAGGAGCCGGGAGGGAGGGGGTGCGGGCGAGTTACATAAACAGGAAGCCAGCGAGAGTCAACGTCACTAACCCTGATCTCCGATCAGATTATTGATCCAGCTGACAGAGGCTGTGTGGACGATCAAACGTGACAAAAGGGCTAATTTACACGTAGATAACTACCTGCTCTGCACTGTTCAGCTGCATCGTCGAGCCATCGCTACTGGATTTACCTTTATTTACCTTTATTTGCTCTGATTGGTTTAACACACTCTCCGCCCACTCTGATTATAAGTGTGAGTGTTTACCTGTCCATCACGCCTGGCTCATGTTACAGCAGCCTTCTTAATCAATATGAGTTGCCAGGCAACCTGTAAGTATAATTAATAATTTGTACAGGCTCAGAATGACCTCGACTGTGGTCCTCGTGTTAACTCGGACTTGACTTATAAACTGATAAATAAACAAATATCAAATCTATCACGTTGTGTCTTCTGTACAGTCAGGTATAGGGTTCATCAATACTTCATGTTCAAACTGATTAATAAAACACACAGAGGCTTATGTCCCATCATGCTCTGCTCTGTCCTCAGATCGCAGAGCTGGTGCTGGACAACAGCCGCTCGGCAGACGGCGAGGTCGACGGTCTGACCGATGAGTTCACGGAGCTCGAGTTCCTCAGCATGGTCAACGTTGGTCTGACCTCGTTCGCCAAGCTGCCCTCGCTGCCCAAACTACGCAAGGTGAGCTCACCTGTCTGACCTCATCAACGGTGTTTTCAAACATTTTCAGGGGGAAGAAGGAGATTGGGTTTGAGGTCAGAGAGCACCATCTGCGGGTGGGAGAGATCTAACGAGCAGGGGACGCCTTTGTGCTTTGACAGGTGTAACTGGCAGTATGAAGGACCAATGTCACCAAAATCAAAATCTGCTAAATTAATGTGTAAATGAAGGTGTAGTGGACCCAAAAAGGAAGAAATCCTAATTTTTTGTTTCACACATGGACTGTGGTTCTCCTGGCCGATGGTTTTCCTGACATTCTTGTCTTTGCTCCCCCTCAGTTGGAGCTGAGCGATAACAATTTGTCGGGTTCTCTTGAGATGCTGTCGGAGAAATGTCCAAACCTGACCTACCTGAACCTGAGTGGGAACAAGATCAAAGAGCTGAGCACTGTGGAGGCGCTGGTGAGGTTCTCACCCCGCTCCAGCTTACAGAGGAAACGTTCTGAGGTTCTAACGTGTCGTTTCCTCCCGTAGCAACACCTGAAGAGCCTGCAGAGCCTTGACCTGTTTAACTGCGAGATCACGTCTCTGGAGGAGTACCGGGAGAGCGTGTTTGAGCTGCTGCCCCAGGTGACCTACCTGGACGGCTTCGACCAGGAGGACAACGAGGCACCCGACTCCGAGGCGGAGGACGAAGGTGAGACCCGCTCAGATGGAGCGCCGTCCTCCTCCTCGTCTCTGTTGCGTCATGCCCGTGTGCGTGTTTGCAGATGAGGATGGCGAGGACGGGGCGGGGCCAACTGGCGCGTACGATGAGGAGGAAGACGAGGACGAGGACGGCTCGGAGAGCGCAGAGGCGGGGCTGGGTTTCCAGGTGAACCGCGCCAACCAGGTGAGCAAATCCAGCTTCATCCTGCAGGTGGAGCCGCAGATGATCCCGGGGTCAGCAGGTCCCAGGTCCTCCAGTCTGCATGACAGTGTCCTTGGCCAAGACCCTGAACCCCGAGTTTCCCCCCAGTGTGTGTGTGTGTGTGTGTGTGCGTGTGTCCCCGACAGCCAAACCGTCTCTGTTGTCAGCCACGCCTCCCGTCACTGACCGTTTTGAGGATTAAAAGCACTAAAACAACTAATTGTCATTAAAAAAAAATTTTCACCAAAAGCGACACTTTTGTATTTCTTCATTTTTAATGTAACCATTTCTTTGTATTTGTTTATCCTTCTTTTATGACACATTTCATTTTGTTTTCATTTGCTACATTGTTGTTTCTCATTGGCATTATGTTCTAGAACCTGACGACGAGTTAAATTTGTTTCCTCTAACAACGCGTTCATTCACTTCCTGTCGTTCAGTCAGAAACGTAAATCTGCTTCTCTTCTTTCTGTGCTTCATCTCAGGATGACGATGAGGAAGACGAAGAGGAGGAGGATGGTGAGCATGTGTTTCAGTGTTGCAGCTGTATGTAGGCTCCAGGTGGGCGGGGCGTGCCCTGATTGGTCCGTTCTGTTTCTGCAGATGATGCGGCGGGCGTTCAGGGACAGAAGAGGAAGAGACAGGCGGACGATGAAGGCGAGGAGGATGACGATGATGATGATGTCTAACCTTGTAGCTGGCCGCCGTCTGTGTGGCGTCCTGTTCTCCTTGGCGGCGGCGTCCCCTGAGATAGTTTGCGTTTGTGAGTCAAGTGTTTAATTTTAGAGAATTTCTGAGAGATTTTATCCGAACCCCACGCTTCCTGCTGAAGACGCCACGTTTCCCTCTTTTCCCACCCCGAACTTTGAGCCGCGTCTGAACGCCTCGCTAGTTTGCTGAGCTTCCCGCGTCCTCAGCGGGTTTCAGCTCCTGTGGTCGCCGTTTTCTTTATTATTTCAGGGGCCGCGTTTCCTCCGAGGGGACTGAACGGCCTCCCGATGGTTTGTCCTACACTTCCCACACAGCAGAAAGCCACTAGCTTCCAGCGTTAGCGTGTTAGAGCTACAGACAGACGAAAATTAGACCAATGAGTCCAACCCGCTTCGTCCGATCAGCCCGGCCCCACCTCGCCGTCTGCTCGGGTTTTCGTTGGCGGTTTACTGCGAGCAGGAACTGCAGCCATCCGATAAACGCACTTTCACCTTCCCAGCAGCAGGGCGCGCTCTCCAAATGTCATGACCTCCCTGAAACCATGACCTGAAACTTCCTGTTACACATGACAGTGAAACAGGAAGTGATTAGTTTAAAGATAAAGCTGAGAACGTGATGGGAGCGTTTGAGTTTTCACGATATCAGCTCCTCCATCAGAGTTCAAGCTGGAACATTCAGGAGTCAGTCAGGAAAAATGGGCGGTGCTTCCGAAAATATCACCTGATGTGAAATTGAAATTGTGTGATTTGGATGTTTTACGATCGTTTTTAATGCATTTCAGAGGCTAAACGGCTTGAAGAAAGTTACACTAAACCCCTTCCATCTAAATAAATACACATTTTATTTATTTATGTTAGTTTTTCTCACCAGTCGCTTTGAAATGGTCGTTACTGTTGCTGTGTTAGCGCCCCCTGCTGCCTTTGAACTGGTGTGTTGTCATTCAACAGGTCAAAGTGTGTGACCTGCTGAGGTCAGGGTGAACTCACCACTTCTAAGGCAATACTGTAAATAGACTCAGTTTGGGGTTTTTTAAGTTTTTTATTTTGATGTATCTGCAGCGAGGTAACCCCATCTCTGACCTTTGAACCCTCACCCTGTCTGTAGGGTCAAGATGTTTTACTCTTTGTGGTGTTTGAGTTTTAAATAAAAGATTTTAAACAAGTAAAAGCGGAGTGTGGTGATGTGTTCAGGACAATGGGGAAAAAGCAGAGACAGAGCTCAGTACCCGAGTAAAAGTACTTTCCAGGAGGACAGGAAGTCAGGATGAAACCCTCCGACCTGCACGCCGGCGCTCCTCATCACAACAGGAAGTATCTGCAAAACCTGGGCTCAGGTGCTTATTTCCCAGAATACAAAGAACCAATCGCAGCGGCCGTCCAGTTGGTTATCACCTGCTCGATGACACTGTGCCCTCTGCATCATTTGACAGGAATCGCATCGTTACCTGAAGGGTCAAAGGTCGCAGGGCTGGTTGGCTTCAGCAGCCTCGGTGAGTTTCAGATCATTGTTTGTGCTTTAGCGCTTGGTCAGAGCATCCTGAGAGCGTGTAAATGAGGAGAATATCAATCAGCTGTAAATATAAAAGGTTTAAAATCATTTACATTTTTTTAACTGAAAACAAACTCAATGTTATTGATCGCTGATCACATGTTTAAATAAAGTTTTTACAGGAGTGCGGAGCTAAAAAAGTAGACTTATCAATGATTAACAACAGGAATTGTGTTTTTCCAGTGTTCACCGATCAGTTTGAGATTTTTCTTTTCTTTTTTTGTCCTGTGGAGGGCGCCAAAGTCCTGCTGCTGAGCCGTTCACCAGCTTTCCTCCTCTTTATAAGTCAGCTGACAGAAAATCAGCAACTTTAAACACTAACACTTATTGATCCTTTTATTCAGTCAGGACGATAATCACAGGTAACAACAGTACTCCAGAGTGGGTGTGGCTTAATATACCTGCTGCCACTGAGATGTCACTCAGTAAACTGTGTTTGCCACATCATGGTGGCCTGAAAAAGCCAGGAAGACAGGGTCGCGCCCTGAGCACACACAGATGTTTTATATGTTATTGATATTTTAACGATAAGTGATTCATCACATGACTGATTATTGTCGACTTATTAAAAATGGATTGGGGCGATTCAGATGTATAAAGATGGGTGGGTGTGATTTCACATGCTGGCTTTTGAAGCCTTATGATGAGAATTTTATCCACCGCCATGCTTGATCATTGGCTATCACGGCGCTTACAGACTTCTTAGACTTGACTGATCGATGGAATGATTGTGTGGCAGGGATTAGGATTCAACTCTATTGTCATTACACATGTATAAATACAGGGTAACGAAATACAGTTTGCATCTAATCAGAAGTGCAAGAGTAGCAAGTGCAATAAGAACAGAATACATACAGATAAGTTAAGTAGAGAGCAAATATACAGATGTACTGATAAAGACAGATAAGGGTTTAAATGGTGGAATAGTTATGAACAGATGATGTACAGAGAGACAAATATATTTATTTGCACATGAGTAAGTTAGCTAATAATGATGGAGCTAATAGAAGCAGTCAGAAAAAAAGTAATAGCGCTGTTTTAACAGCACCCTCTTTCATCTGCGAGCAAATGCCCCCTCCTCAGAGTGCGCCCAAATGCTTGTTGCTGCAGAAGCTGGTGATAGCCGCATACTCAGCCGGATGGTGGACATGTACATGCTCCTGCAAGTTAGTCGGGTTTGAGTACTTTGCTCGCACTATACTGACCACATCTGCACAAGCAGCACACCGCTCTGCTTACATCTTTAGGTTTACCTCTTTTATCCAAAATTGCCGACTTTACTGCGATTAACAATGAACCCATCTGGAGTGCAGTCAAAGTCCCAAAGTCAACAAATTTTGGGCCAAAGTTTGTCCAATCAGAACTCCAGATGGGTTAGGTGCGTGATGACGGCGTTAACGCTGACAGCCCTACATTTTTGGGGAAATTAGTTCGTCCATGTTTGGGCTTCTGTGTCGTTAACGCGCAAATCAGTCCATCCATGATTACATTGCTCTGCCCATCAAAAAGTCTGTGCATGCGCAAATATATCGCCCATCGGTGATTATTGGACTGACGATTGTCTGTTGGAAAATTTTTACATGTTGCCCAACCCTAGTGGAAGCATAGCTCTCTGAACAGACTATAACAGTGAACAGTGTAGGCACTGTAACAGACTCTGTCAGTGTCCTAAAACTACAGCAGTAACCAATGTGAGCATGTGGTGAATGTTGAGAATGATCATGGTCACTGGGAGGAGGAGTGTAGGAGGGTTCAGTGGGGTGACAGCTGTGGGGGAGGAGCTCTTCCTAAACCTGCTGGTTTTAGTCTGAAGGCTCCTGTAGCGCCTTCTGGAGGGGAGGAGCTGGAGGAGTTTATTGGCAGGATGAGAGGAGTCCCCGGGAATGATGCGTGCTCGGCATAGACATCTCTTCTTGTGGACATCCTCAATGGCAGGAAGTGGAGTCCTTGTGATGCGTTGGGCGGCTTTCACCACCCGCTGCTGTGCCTTGTGGTCAGCAACAGAGCAGTTCCCACACCAGACTGTGACACAGTTTGTCTCTATCACACAGTGGTAGAAGTTACCCAGTATGTCAGCAGACAGGTGGTTCTTCTTCAGTATCCTAAAGAAAAAAAGGCGCTGATGGGCCTTCTTGACCAGGCTGGAGGTGGTAGTAGACCAGGACAGATTCTCAGAGATGTGGGTCCCCAAGAACCTGAAGCTGGAGACCCTTTCAACAGCTGTGCCAGGAGAGGTGGGCAGACACAGCTGTAAGTGACTGTCTAATCTTGCCTCCTGTATTTCAGTAGCACGCCTGGACCTAGGAGAGGGAGAGAGGTACGAGATCAGCAGCACCAATCGATCTGTCCATCTCCCGTCACCTGTGAACAAGAGATACTTCAACTCCTCCACTTGGGGCAGCAATTCGCCCCTGGCCTGGACTGGACTATGACCTCAGAATTGGAAATCCCGATTCTTGTTCCTGCAGCTTTATATTTGGGTGTGAGCTGCTCCAGTGCAAGCTGGAGGCCACCACTTAAAGAAGGCAATGACCCCACATGGTCCTCAAAAAGTTGAGTTGAGGCTCTGAGGCCACCCAGATGGAAGTGTTCTGTTGCCTGGCTTTGCCTGGAAAGTCTCAGTCCAGTTATTTGTGACAGCATGCACCAAACTCTCACTTTACAGGGACCAAAGGGCTCATAGTGGCCAGACACCCCATGCTCCCACAGGAGACTCACAGGGATGCGGTCGAATCCCTGTGACAAGTCCACAAAACACATGTGGTTGGGCAAACTCCCATGCACTCTCAAACATCCTTGAGAGGATAAAGGAAAGATCCACGACTGGACGAAACCACATTTGTTTATTTTCAGGTAAATTCTGAACACTTTTCTCAGCACAGATACACAGTACAGCTGTCTGTTAACTGTGCTACATTTGTATACCATCAGCTTCTTTGTTACTCCATCAGCTCAAATAAGGAAGTTAGAAACAGCTGTTTACCGTCACTGCCGCCATCTTGGAATGTTAAGCCGGGGTTGGAGGGGAAAGCTGAGGTGGGGTTGTTAATCTGGAACGCACCATCAGTCACCATCAGCAAGAGTGTCATTCAGCTGTGTGTGTGTGTGTGTGTGTGTGTGTGTGTGTGTGTGTGTGTGTG